AAATATTTGCTGTAGCAATTGTAGTGAAAATGGGTCTTTAGAAAGTATTGATTCAGTGGAGGTGTGTGTTGCACTTCATTGTGAAAAGTGGAAACAACATATCTTTTTTCTTTTTCTTAGTTTCTGTTGATTTTTACCTGCCTTTATTTTCTGTCAGATTAGATAGAAAGCATCTAAGATCCTGAGTTTCTTGTGACAGATTTTCAGTTGGGTTCAGACAAGGACTTTGACTGGGCCACATGTCAATATGCTTAGATCATTCCATCAAAGCTCAGGCTTGCTGTCCTGATCCTTTATCAGTCTAACTGCATTGTATGTTAATTTCCCCCAGAGATTAATTACTGTAGTAGTGATATCACAACAACAGAAACATATTTATGTTATTTAGCATATTTAGAATTGACATACTCACAGTCTGCAGGCCACGCCTCTGTGGCCACGCGTCCATTTCACTACTAGAGGGGAACGAGGCAGCCATGCAGATCACAGCACCACCTCCATTTTTCTAGATGCCCGCTGTCGACTTTGAAGTCGTCTTGCCACACTGTGCCTCCCACACCTCTGTGTGAAATGGCTGAGGAGGAAAGCAAAGCGGACATAATCTTTATTCCAAGCGAAAAAGAAACAACGTGTACACTGTGTAGAGGCCCATTGAAAGTGTAGCTTCCACTATATCTTATTTGCATGTGGAAATCCTGAAACTAATGGAAATTAATGGAGTTAATAATTGCTGTGACGATTGATCTATGTTGGATTGTATAACTTGTCTTTTTCACCACACAATTTACACTTGTGTCACACTTAAAAGAGTTGTATTTGATTGCTTACTGTAATAACAATGTAACTTCTTAATGGAATGAGTTGCTGTTTGTGTTTCAAACTACAAAAAAAAAAAAAAAAAAAAAAAAACACTGGATGACTTTGCATATTAATTCAAAGCTCCTAAACGCTCTGATCAAACCCAAAAACAAAAACAAAAAAGTATTAATAAATCAAGTAAAATGTATTTCACATGATTGTTCTGTACAACAGTAATCGTGTGTGTGTTTGTTTATTTAATCATTATTATCATGGTTTTATTGATTTTCCGATCTCAACAAATGGAATAATATTTAGACATTTTCGCGATGCTTCCCTATCTTATACATATTGCCATATATATATGTATATAACTATTTTTATAAAGCCTTAAAGTGGGTACGATTAAAAAATTAAAATAAAATAAACATAGCGTTCAGTCGACCGACTTATTAAGTATAAAGTATAAAGTGTGGCCCATTCGGAGTTTTAAGGAGGGTTTGGTAAACACAAAGTCCCACACGGGAATGTTGTGCGACCAATAAGCACACAGCAGGTTTATTTTGGCAGGCAGACTGCGCATGGCTACAGTCAATATGGAATCTCTGCGGCGAGAATTAGCAAACAAACAGCGGGCACGTCGACCGAGTCCGCCGTCAACGCGTCAGTCAGCGGCTTTAAAAACTCACGAACCACGCAGGAAGCGCCCGACTGAACTCCACGACCGGGACCGAGAAAGTGAACAGACCGAGGGGAGAGCCGCTCCGCCGCGGCGGCCGTGCAGGCCCAAAGAGCCGCCGCGCGCGAGCCAGTCCACGCTAAGCTAGCGTTAGCATAGCTTCCCCCCACACCCCCAATGGATAGCCGCAGCTAAAGTTTTCCTTCAAATCTATGATTTCCCGATCCCGGAGAGCTTCGTCCTGCTGGCCCCGGCCCCGGACGGGAGTAAAACAAAGCCGCTCTTCCTCCGCGGGCTTCTCTTCAAAGTGAAATCACTTTCTTTCATACCATTTCTGATGTCAAAATCAGACGGACGCTCCAAATCAGCAGATTTCTTCCCCGGTCCCCCTTTTTGCTAGACAATGAAATCAGAATGTCCCGATCATCAATTCTAATCATGATTGTGACGTGTGCGCAGACAGGAGCCAATGAGCGCCCGAAATCAAGGCTGTGACAGCCGAAGGGGCTGAGGACCGAGTCCCGTGGCCCCGCCCACCGTTGACTTTGTTCTGCGGGCTGCTGGAGGGGGAGGTCACGCAGTACGGAAGCAGGCAGTGGGAAATGGCCTGTTTCCTCCTCACAGTGGGGTTTGTTGAAGTGATGTAGCGCATTAGTGTTATTTTGGATAGGGCGCGGATATTCACAGCTGGAGCAGCTGAATGGAGATGCTCTGCAGAGCCTGAATGCAAATGTGTGAAGATGCGTGCCATAATTGAACCAATTATATATATATATATATATATATATATATATATATATATATATATATATATATATATATATATATATATATATATATATATATATTATTACTGTTGTTATTATTATTTTTTTACATATCCATGGAATCATATTATACCCATATTTACCACAAACGTTGTCCTTTTTCTTGTTTCATTTCCAATGTTTAGAGGTTCTGACTCCAAATATTACATTTTAGCAACATAAATGAGTTCCTGCTTGCACATAACAATGATAATAATAATTTTAAAAACTTGTCGACTGTTTTTTTTTTCTGGAGTCATGGAGGTGATGGTACACAGCAAATGGTGACCTGCATATGTTACACTTTAAGAGTAAAGTTTACGCCACACTCATTGATCATTCAGGTCCAAATTCCCAGTGTTGAAAGAGGATTATATTAATTAATTTATGCACTTTCAGAGTACAAATTAACTCTTTTATGATTACGTTGGACTTTTTCAACGTAAAAAATAAGAGCATAAAAATGAACTCTGTCAGAGTATCTAAACTATAAGATATAAAGGTATGAGTTTTGAATCATCTAAATGCTATAGTTCTAAATGCTCTTTTACAAGGATGTTTCGAAACATTTAGCCTTAAATTAAAAATAATTGCACACGACCGAGCGAACGGAAAGTCCAAGTAGACTTCATTTTAGTTTGCGGCGTTATGTTAAAAAGTTTCAAGTATACAGTGACTGAAGCAAATTAAAGGATATCCTTCATGTAAAAAAAAACATTTTAAATGCCAGAATTGCTTGCATTCCTCGCACTGGCAATTGCACCTTAGTCATTAGCGATTGTGGACAAAGACAACCCCAATCGACACAATTTGAAAAGTGTAAAAAAAAAAAAAAAGACACGCTTCAAAATGGTGTCATTTTTTTTACTACAACATAAACATCTTCAGTTTTTCAAACGGGTTGATGTGGCAAAGAGCTATTCTAAAACCTACAAAAACAATGTCTTGTACAACAGCACACACACAAGAACCACATACAGAACATCCTTCTCAAAGCCTGCATGTCGTCCTGAGGTCAAAAGGTCGGAAAAAGGCAACCGGCCAATCGTCAGCAGAGAGGGCGTCAAGCTTAACTTCCCTTCACCGCGGTGCAGGAGTGGAAATGTTAGTCAAAGTGTCTGATAGCAAGAAAATAATTCTAATTCTAGATCTCAGAGGTGCTAACATCAAAAAGTTATACAGAGTTAAACCCCTTTCAGCTTTTTAAAAAAAATCTATAAATCAGTCTGCAGCCAAGTTGCTCTACAGATTAAATAAATATTATTAGGACTTAATTAATAAAATGGCAGCAAATGTGCTTATTTCATAACTTCATAACCTTTGACCTTCTCTCTCTGGTCTGTTTAACAGCTACAGTCTCAGATCAACTCATCCCTCCAGGACTGTCAGCAGCAGAAACAGCAACTTTATACCTGTTGGGAAAAATATATTACATTTGCTTTGCATTGTCCCCTGATGATGGCAGTGATATAGTAATACAGGTTGTTTCTATTTTGTTGTATGGTGGTTTTGTTCAATGTGTGCCTTTTTTTAAATTTGAGCCCCTGGCCATCCAAAGGTCTCTGCACAGCCCTGTCAAAATGAATGACAAAACAAAACACATTCAAATTTGCTGCAATAATAATAAAAATAGCTATAATAATATAAACTTGTGGTGACTTGCATGCACTTTTGTCAGAGAGAGAGTGTGTGCATGTGCGTGTGTGTGTGTGTGTGTGTGTGTGTGTGTGTGTGTGTGTGTGTGTGTGTGTGTGTGTGTGTGTGTGTGTGTGTGTTTGTGTGTGTGTGTTCCTCGTGTGATAAATGGCGGCCAGCTCCTGCAGGTGCTCAAGTCAGGAATGTGCTGGAACCCCGCGAGGACGGATGGAACCGAACTGTTGTGTTCTCTGTTTAAGATTTATTGATTGAGTCACATTTTTTATTTTATTTTTTTTAACTTCTTCATTTGTTTATTTTTCGACGCCGCTCTTGTTGAATTCATCCCATGACGTCACCCGTCTTCCACAACCCGCAGCAGGGGGGCGCTGCGCCTCACAGCTCGGGCGAGCTCGCGCTCCGGCGCCCGACGACTGAAGCCGATCATCACATTGGATAGAGAGAGAGAGAGGGAGAGAGAGAGAGAGGAGAGAGAGAGGAGAGGGAGAGAGGAGAGAGAGAGAGAGAGGAGAGAGAGGAGAGGGAGAGAGAGAGAGAGAGAGAGAGAGAGAGAGAGAGAGAGGAGAGAGAGAGAGAGAGAGAGCGGCGACCTGCTGACACCTCCTCACCTTGCGCTGTGGCACGAACTGCTACCGCAACGTGGCTGCCATGGCAACCCGTTGCTATCAGCTGGAGCGCTGATAGCATTTAGCATGTCTCGGTTCATTAAAACCAGCTGCGGTGGAGGCTATAGTGCTAGCAGTTGTGCGTTATAGCAGCACGATTTAGTACAGGATTGCATAAAGCCACTTTCTCCGTGTGTGTGTGTGTGTGTGTGTGTGTGTGTGTGTGTGTGTGTGTGTGTGTGTGTGTGTGTGTGTGTGAGAGAGAGAGAGAGGAGGAGGGGGCTACAGGGGGTACAGAGATCCTCCCTGTATGGTGTGCGTTGCACCATTCCGTATTATGCGTGGTGCCCCTCGTGATGCTGCAGCGAGGCGGGCGGGAGGAGTAGAGGGGCGGGGAGGGGTCGCTCCATCTCCTCGCGCGGCACCTCCGAATTCACTTCTCACAGAGCGCGCGGGGCTGCTGGCGGGAAGGCACGAGAGAGAGAGAGAGAGAGAGACAGAGAGAGAGAGAGAGAGAGAGAACCACAGAGGTGGGAGGGAGTGTGTATGTGTGTGTGAGAGAGAGAGAGAGAGAGAAGGGAGATAGCGTGTGCGTGCGTGTTTGTGCGCGCGTGCGGATTGCACCACCGCAGCCCGTTCACCGTTTCTGCAGGCGGCCGAGCTCCGATGGAGATAATAAACCCGCACTAGGGGCTTTTCTCTTTTCTTTTCTCTTTTTTTTATTTTATTCCCCCCCCCCTTCCTCCACCTCCTCCTCCTCGTCCTCCATCCTCTGATCCAGATGTGACCGACAAGTCGTTGCATGACGCCCGCATTCAGTCCCGCGTCGCTCACCTCGGAGAGACTGTGACACCATGGCTTTGGTTATGGAGCCTATCAGTAAATGGACACCGAAGCAAGTGCTGGACTGGATGAAAGGTAAGCGGGGCGGCCACGCTCCACGCCGCACCACGCCGCTTGTGGTTATAGGATGGTGATGACGCGGCGGCTGCTGCTGCTGCTGGTCGTGGTGGTGCAGGTTGGTGCAGGTTGGTGAGGAGGCCACATTCTGGGCATGAGTGTTCCCCTCGCGCTCAAAGCTGCTGCGGGACTGTGACGTGGGGGAGAGGGGTGGGGGTACGGGGGGTTGAAGTGACCGATGAATTAAAAAGCCACAAAACGGCGGATGAAGATGTGTGAGCAGTTGTCGCGGAGGATCATCATCATCATCACCACCATCATCATCACCACCATCATCATCATCACCATCACCATCATCACCATACAGCGGCGGCGCTCATCAATGAATGAGGAGGAGATGTGTCATCTTCACTCGCTGGCACATGCCCTCCAGCGCACATCTCCACGCGCCGTGAAGGCTGCTGAATGCACTCACTCACTCACTCACTCACTCACTCACTCACTCACTCACTCACTCACTCACTCACTCACTCACTCACTCACTCACTCGCCGTCACCCAGTTTCAGCACCGCGGACAGCGCAGTGCTCACTGGCTTTCTTTGCAGCGCGCCTCGCATATATCGGCGCCTTCGAACGAACGACTAATCGAATAGGAGCGCGTACGAGTCTATGTGTGTGTGCGCGCGCGTGCGTGGCCGTTTCACACACGTTGCTCATTCCACAGAGATCTGTGAAAGAAAGCTGCGTGAGGCCTGCTGCTGACAGACGACGTTAAGGAAGAAAGGAAAGAAAGAAGGAACGAAGGAAGGAAAGCTGGTGCTCGGTGCGCGCAACGCTTTTACTTTAGAGCATGACTTAATCACTGGTTGATTGATGACTCCGAGTCAAAACAATTCGTACAATTCATGCTTGAGCCACAGAGTGAGCTACTTCCTGCGTTTGTCTTGTGAAGGGAAGGATTTTTGTTCACATTTTTCCACTTACAAATCACACATACGTCACGTGTTTCTTTTGGGATTTATTTATCCATTTATCGTGATACCGCGAAGTTAAGTCCAGTGCTGGAGACATTTTTTGGGCAGCGTCATGCTGTCGGGATGCTTCAGCTGGTGGTGGGAAGGAAGAAAGGCTTAAAGGCAGGAAACTCGAGACTGGAGATTGAGAATCGGTGGCAAGACTTGGAAACCGATATCCCTCCTTAAATCGATATAGAATCAGGCGATTTTGTTATTTTTTTTTTAAAAAAAGGATGAACTCGGAAAAACTATTGAAAACCACTCAGAAGACTCACAAGGCCATGTCTGCTAAAAAATGAAATGACTTCTGAACGCTGTCGGTCTGAATTTCATTTAGGAGTATGTTTGTAAAAGGGGTCAAATACAAATTCACACACTTTTTCAGATTCTCATTTTAACCCCTTTCATTGTATAGCAGCCGCTACAGTGGACAGCTATCCAAAGGCCATTTTCTTGTGCTTCTTGTGAATTTTTATGTTACAAGTGCACACAGACCACTGAAGTGGACACTAATGCATCATAAAATACACTATCAACTACTGGCCATCAGTTGCAAATGCAAGAAATTATTTTTGTTCACTCCAATATGGCCGACAGACCAAAACAAAGCATGCCGACCGACTCCGTCCCTCCTTCTACTGTAGACCACTCTTGCAGGTAAAAAAAAAAAAACAAAAAAAAAAACAATACTACTGATATAGTTTTCAAATAACAATTTGAAAAATTACAATTCATCACCTAAAAAAAATAAATGCAATTTAAACCATGTTTTTCCTACTTTTTTATGCCTTAAGAAAATCTAAAAAAAAAATTGTGAAAAAATCCTGACACAAAGGATCATAATTCATGCATGAAAGAGTTAAAACATTTTGAATCTGTGCATGCCACTTTCTCTGTGATTTTGACAATTATCGCGATACAGTTTCAAATGAAAAGTCTTAGGTTTCTAAGACAGCGTAATTGACGTTGGAAACTGTTTGCTATCTCTCCACCATCTTGTAAAAACGTGCAAAATATCATCACGTTACTGAATTTTAAAGACTAGCCTGTCAGATGCTATTGACATTTTCAGTTTCACGATAATTTATTGACATCGATTTATCGTCACTGCCACAGAACCCGTGATTTTCCTTCCTCTTCACTGCTATGCAAAATACAATCGGTCGCGGCAGCGTCACACGTCTGCGAGACACACGAGCAGCCAAATTGGGACAAGCTGGGTGTGGAGAATAATTCAGTCATTCATCGCCTTATTCATTTATGTGCCGTGGAGTGTTTGTTCGGAAAGCTCGACTTCCTACATGTTGCCCGGGCAAAGACACTGAACACGACAGAACGTGTTGAATTCGGCGAGAGCCGTTTCCTCCCGAGTGTGTAAATCACACTGAGAAAAACAGGACCGGGCGCAAGAGGACAAACAACATGACTGATGGTGCTTATTTTCGGACACGACCCAAACCCGGTCCTGGTCACACTCCGCTGCTTTTGAGCCATTCAGACTGAGCTATGTGAAATTTGGCATGCAAAATTTTTACTTTTTATTCAAGAAAGAAGAAGAAAAAGAAGAAGAAGAAGAAGAGAGAGACAGGCTTGCTTTCCAAATTACAGCAAATGTATTTTGTGCTAGTTTATAATTCCCAACTCATATTCGGTCACAGATTTATCATGAAGTCACAGAACAGATAACAGTATTTATCTAGTATTTCATAATTATCTTTCATTGTTTCTTTAAAAAAAAAAGGAAGCATGTTTCCCAGCCTCCTTCACGAACCGTGCGATCAGATCTTGTGTCTTTGGCACCGGTGTAAACCTGGAAGTGTTAATCCTGTATTAATCTGCGCGCTTACACAGCCTTAGCTTTGGCCTCTCAGCTGGGATCGCCTCGTCGCCGCCATCTTGGTCCAAATGGTCCCGCTGCGTTTTGGAAAGGCCTTCGTTTGAAGTCTGCAGCCATTTTTCTTCGTCTTATTTGACGCGGGAGAGCTAAACGTTTGTGTTGAGGCCTTTTCATTAGCGTCGTTCGTTTACTAGAAATCGGTCGAGACATAGAAAGGACTCACGTTAGCTGACAGTTGCTATGCGGTGATAAGTCTTGCTGTAAGAACCCTCAAACAATCGTCGTTGCTTTTCAACAAAAGTCACAATATCTTGCAAAAACCCCATAAAACTGCCGTCAACCCTTGAGCTTTCTCATGTTTTCTCACATTATAGCTAAAACGTTGGAGGAAACTTTATCAATTTGCTTTCTGATTGAGTAGAAAAAAAAAGCTACATTTCAATTTTCTAAAAAAAACCAAATACCACAAAGCTGAGAACTGGGCCGTCTGTTTTTATTGTGATTCAGCTAACTTAACCCCAGCACAACCAGTGCCCTCAGAGGTCGCCTCTTTAGTAGAAGCGTCCACATGTGTTCTAATTTAAGCTCAGTGTGAATCCGGCTGTTCTGTGGATGCCTCAGAGGGGGTTTTATTTGTTTTTTAATTTTTTTTGTTAGAGAGAGAGCGATAGACAACAACCATCGTCTTTAAGAGCTGGGAGAAATTTGTGCAAAGGTTATAGACAATATAACTAAAAAATAAAATACCTTTGTGTATTTTATAGTCCTCTGTCCAAACCATCATCAGAAAACCAAAACTCTATAAACCTACCGAGATATGAACCTTCAGCTAAACTGAGAGTCCAGCTCCTCCACGGTAACTTTGGAGGAGCTGCGGAGTTCCACGGCTCAGACGGTTGAAACGCGTTAAAAGCAACAACCATTAGTCAGCCATCGCAAGGCGCAAGATTTATGTGTGGGGCTGACCAAACATGTGGCAGATAACAGCTAAAACTACAGCATTTCCTCCACCGCGGTGGCCGCGGCATGCTGTGGGACAGGGACGCTGCTCACAGATAATGAGAAGACGAATGGAGCTACCCCACAGGGCGAGGATGATGCAGATGGCTTGATATCGGAGGAGAGGTTTTCCTTCCTCCAGAGTCAGAGTCGGCCTCCTGAGGCGGAAGGAAGTTTGTTGAGCGCTGATCTATTTTCTGTTCTCATTTCTCAGATTGTAAACATTTTTTCTACTTCACAATTACGTGGGGGTGAAACAATTAATCGGACTAAACGTGATTAATCGGTCGGTGATTGTACCTTTAGGAGTATTCTTATTACATTGTACTTTTTACTTTTACTTGAGTAAGAAAAACATGTTGGAGTGGCGCTGCTCTGACTCGAGTGCTTTGCCAAAAATTGGCAGAGGGGCAAAACAAACTGGCAAAACTGGTTAAAACGGTTTTTCGCAAGGCGCCATGTGAAACATGCCAAACCTAACAGGTATTTTGCCATCAATTGTAAGTTTGGCTGCAGTTGTGGGTTCGTCGGCCGGAGCCGAGGCAAAGCAGACAAAACGTATCATCGGGCTTTTTGGATCAGAAACTTCTATGTACTGTCTCCTTCACTGGTATAACCTCCCCAAAAAACAAAACAAAACAAAACAAAACGGAAAAAAAAGAAACACAAGCTGCAGCTCTTTGCAGACAGAAGCTCTTTCACCTGGACAGCCAATCTCTTGACATATACAAAGCATGTTAGACGGAGAGATGTGATCATCTGCAGTCTGCCAGAGAAAACCTGACGCTGCTGGATGGCATGCAGACAAAGCAGGCTGAGCTATACATCTTATCCCCCGCCGCTGGAAAGAGGAGAACTGCTGCTCCAGCAGCAAAATGCCGGTGAGGGCTCACAGAAAGATGACTCATCAGCATTTGTTATGATCTGAACGCCCACACTAGAGGAGTTTCCTATATGATCGCGCGTGTGTCTCTGTGTGTCTTTTGAGTTGCGTGTGTAATCAATGACGCAGTCGAAGTGTGGTGCTGCGTGCGGCTCTTCGCCCCGGGCGAGGCGCCGGGGGCCTGCCGACACTCGGCCACGTTGACAGGAAAATGAATAAGGCCGGTCACTTTTCCTGCAGTAATCTCTCCTCCTGTCCGCGCCTGTCGATGTGTCGGAGCAG